CAAACTCACCAAACTATGGTAAATATTTTTCAAGATAATTGCAGTCTCATAGTTAAATGCACATTACGACCAGTTTGTGATGAAGATACAGTCATATCATAACTAAATTCTCCTTTGTAACTTTTGTTTAACTTCACTACTGTAAGTTTTTGTTCTATCAATAGATGTATACCTAGACTTCATGTTAATACCAGTTGTAAGCAAACTTTGTACAAATTTTAATAAATAGAAAAATTTGTTTTGTTACAATATGTATTAATAGGAATTTGAATTTTTTCCTAGTATAAGAATAGTCTGAGGCACATCGGGAATGTTAGAAATCTTGGGGCGTGACAGACCGTATTTCTACAATATGCGGTCCATAGGTATAAAGCATCCATCTTAAAGATGGATGCAAATAGGTGGTCCATCAGAAAACAATTGTAACTAATGGTCCAAATGTTTTTTTAATATAATTATTATTTCTAGTTTTCATTTTTTTTTTTTTTTTACATATTTATGATATCCATGTTAAAGATTATATATTCTCTAAAAATTAGGATCAAATTATATGTTAAAAATATATTTATTGCCAAGCCCACAATTTTACAATATGCGGCTGGCCACATCGAATCCGTGTCCTTCTAATAAATATGGAAAATTGTTTCTTGCGGGTTGGACTGCATTTCTACATATGAAGTCCATCAGTATATAGCATCAATGCAAATATGTGGTCCATCTAAAAACAATTGAAACTAATGGTTCAAATGTTATTTCTAGTTTTTAAAATTTACTTATTTTTTCATATTCATGATCTCCATATTAGTTATTACATATCCTTAAAAATTAAGTCCAAAAATCCATCTCAAAAGTAGATTTATTAGGGGGTCCTCATTTCTACATGTGCGGGCTTTGACAGCATGCTAACCACATGCAATATAATTTTGGACACGTCCCGCGTATTGTGGAAATGCGAGCTTGACAATAAATATATGTTTTAAATATAATTTGATCTTAATTTTTACCAAATATATAATTTTTAACATGGAGATTATGAAAAAAAAATAAAAATAAATAAATAAATTAAAAACTAAAAATAATAATTATATTAAGAAAAAATTCGTATCCATAGTTACACTTGTTTTTAGATGGACCACGTATTTGCTTTATACCTGTGGACCGTCCATGAAACAATTTTCCTTTCTTTTTTCTCGGTCAGTTCTCACGTGGCGCTTTCTGTTCCTTCCCTCTATCGCACTTCCCATTTCACTCGAAAGCTAGGAGGGCGAGAGGGGAGCATTTCCATGGCGATGATGATGCGCTCCTCCAATATTCGTCGCTCTGTAATTCCATTTTCATCAAATACTCAGCATCATTTGTGGACATGGACATCATCCACAGATGACCCTCAAGTCACCAACCCATCATCTCCTGCTCCTGACAAGAAGAAAGTTAAGATTGGGGCGCAGCGTTTATCGTCTGTGGTGGATGTCATTAATGAGAAGAAGCTCCCCCCTGAGCTCCGAGGAAGGGCCAACGCCATCAGGTTTTCCTTCGACTTCCTCATATTTTATCTGTTATTTCCCCTTTCTATCAAACAATCATATTTTATCTTTTTTCCCCCTGTCTATCAAACAACCATTTAGTTTTCGATGGAATCCATTTGAATTGTGGTTCAGATTCAATTTGTACTGTAATTTCTTCGGTTGAATTAGAATCCATTTGAATTGTGGGTCAGATTCAATTGGTACTGTAATTTCTTCGGTTGAATTATGGGGAGTGATTTGATCAGTACTTGGGCCTTATGACACCAATCTGCAATTCTGCATTCTCTGTGCTCCTCATCGAGTATACGAATTAAGGATTTAACTTTCACAACATTTTATTATAGAAAGATAACAGAAACAACTTTGCGTAATGATTTCAAGCACCTAGCAGGTTTTGCAATACACAATTCATGCACAAACCAGTGTTCGCAAAACCGGCCGGTTAGAACCAGAACCGGCCGGTTAGATCGGTACCGGTAGGGTACCGATTCCAGTTAAGGCTGGTTTTACGGTAGTACTAAAAAAATGAAACTTCCACAAAGAAACCGGCTAAAAAACAGGCCGGTTTGATATCGAACCGGCAATATATTTCCAAAACCGGCCAGTTTTTTCAAAACCGGTAGGCGTCACTGTTATATAAGCCGATATACTGTTAAAAGGCGCACTTAAAAATAACGCCCGTTATTTGTAGCAGAGCCCGTTATTTTGGGTAGAATATGAGATCTGCCCTTTTGTAGCCTTTTTTGATGCTTTTTACTGTAGTTTTTTGTTTTTTTTCGCTCAATTATTGTACTATACCTTCAAATCTTCTATAAACCCATGAATATTGAATCAGTAACTCCAAGATTATGTCGTTTTTGGCGATTTTTAAGTGCGTTTTTTTGGTGTTCTTCAATTTTTTTATGAAAAATCTGCCAATCTAAGAATTTTGGTGTGGTTTTTCATTTTTTTTGGTTTAAAATTGGGGTTGGGAGCGGTTTGAACCAGAATCGGACAAAATCGGGGCGGTTAACTGGACTAACCGGTCAAGTAGATATTTTTAAAAAAAAATGGGTCAAAAACCTCCAAAAAAATTAAAAAAAATAGAAAAACTTAGATTAAATGTATACTATCGTATTACATACATTTATCTTACAAAAAAAATAAATTGAAACAGCTTTTTATGTAAATTAATATTTGAATACTATGAAGATATGCAAGACAATTTATAATTTGACATTAATTCAATTAATGAAGTTACAAAGTCCAACTAACAATGGCTAATAGTGATGAGAGTGGCGAGGGGGATCATGGTACTGTTGTGTTTCACTATCAGGGTTTACGGAGCAAAAAATTTGAGTAAGGCTTGGTGGAGTCTGTAATGTCGTAGTTGTGCCCCCTCGACAGTCAGGAACATTTCCCGTGGTACCCCCTTGGCCAAAGTCTCCTAGACTAGTCCAGCCTTCGTGCTCTTCCCCACCTTATTTTGTGTTACCCCCACCCTGTTCTATGTTATAGCCCTCGGCAGCTTCAATATTGTCATCATCATGAATAACCAGGTTACAATGATGGCTACGGCTACGGCTACGGCTTCGTCGCTCCCTTGTCGAGTGACTGCTATGCCTGGATTTCCTCCCGAGCCAATCCCATTAAATCTTCTTGTTCATCGGGCACCACATCATGTTGTGCCCCTTCACATTCCTGGATGACTGGATCTCGCTAGTTGTTTTCCATTGTCTCATATGTCTCCTCATCATCCTGCGCCCCATCTTCATCCTGTGTATAATCGTCATCCATGTCCATTGCCATGTCTCCTTCATTGGATGCTGCAACATCCACATTATCATCCATATTGGCAACTGCCCCACTAAGAAAATCCTGGTCTAGTAGTGGGGTCCTTAGTGATACCCATTCATCGGCGAGGTCCCTCCGGAGATGTAATCAAGGTTGATCGGTGTGTAGTCTGTGGGGGTTCTCCTTATATGTCTTTCTCTCAATTTCAAATTGTAATGAACATAGACCAAGTTGTGCAGTATCTAAGTCTTTAACCTATTCCGCCTCGGGGCGTGTATCCACTGAAATATACTCCAGTTTCTCTCACAGCCCGAGGAAGCACAGTTTAACTCATAATTCTAACTGCAATCTTTTGCAATTGCTTTGTTCGAATTCTGTGTATCGTCCACCATTGTGTTGACACAGACAAACATAGAAATACTTAACAATAGAAAATAAATTGATTTAAAAAACCACAAATAGTATTGTACTAAACTATTGCAAGTTTTAACTTAAAACTAACATGGGTGCAATTTTTCAGCTACTTTTTTGGCATTGTTGTATGCAAATTCCCAATTTTTTTTCATGTACATGATAAGTTAGAAATAACAAGATGCATATACAAGAAATTAGTACAATATAGAAATGCAATTCATTATTCTAAATTGAAATTTTATTACAGATACGTTTTGATTAAGGTTTACTGTTGCATACACTCCATCTAAGTTTCAAGATCAGGCTCAAGCCTGTAGATGCAGTTTCTTATCCCCTCCATGATATTAGCATCATCTAAGGTGGCATTAGAGTACAAATTTTGTGGATTAAGAAAAAACCCTGCACATGGTTTGTTATATTATTAATTACCGTAACTTTACTTGGAGTTGAGAAAGAATCATGAATTGCGACAATGAATCGTAAATTACCTGCTGCATGGATATCCCGGTGCAGTTGGTCTCGCCACCTACGATCAGCGATCTCCAATATCTCTTCAGTCCATATGTTATTTTCAAATATAGCTTCCCTTGCGTGTCTCATTGCATCAAATAGAAACCCCATTGCGGGTTTATCATCGGAGTCAACTAACCTCAACACCCGCACTAGAGGTTCAGTTACAAAAATAACATGGTTAGATCGAGCCCAGAACCTCCGATCAACAAGGATGATTTCAACCTGCCTTCCATGTTGACTCATTGCTGCCCTATCAGTCTGCCATTCATTTGAGCGTATCATTGACCTCAATTCTGCCTTGTTGACCAATATCGATTGTATAGAAAGAAATGTTATGGTGAAGCTAGTAGTGGACTCCCTGACAATCTCTCGCATGCAATGCTCCCTCATCAAAGCATGGAGGTACGCGTGATTGTATATAAACCTTATAATCAACTTGCACTTCAAAATATAAGTTTTAACCCTCCTCAGCTTCCCTATTTCCTTAAGCATCAAATTAACCCAATGGGCAACACAAGGAGTTTGGGTCTTCTCTCCATTAGCAACAAGCCTGCTTTTTTGTAGTTCGCAGAGTCACTACTTGGACCACATTTTCAGGCTCAACGTCATCTACAATTTTGTCCAAGTGTGCGTATATCAGTCTCCCAATATGTCTCTTTCTTGATAAATCAATGCTAGAGTGGTAAACAATGCCCCTAGAGCAACGTATTAAAAAATTGACAAGATACCTTTGGAACTTTTCCTTCCAACAGTCAGTTATGATGGTCACTCCTGTACCTGATCAACAGACCTTGAACTATGCAATATGCTTATCGACATCATGAACAACAGCTTCTAAACATGGCCCTGCAAGCTCCTTCATAGTTGAACCTCTAACATCCGGCCCTGCCTCAGCTTTAGAAGCTACCATCTGTGGGTAGAAGTCTGAGCTCGCAGAACTAAATGGTAGTGCATTAGCATGCCAGAACATGCTAATCATCTTTCTCGCATTTTCTATTAATAAACCTGTTGACGGAAATTTTATTTATTTTTTATGATATTGTGGCTTGTGGGGATCAAGTCCAGAGGGTTCGCGGGTTATTGGTGGCACGTCTATGGGTTCATGTCGTTGAGTAGTAGATGACCGACTATAAGAGGATGGACGACTAGAGAAACTATGCCTCAATCTACTAGATGTGGACCTAAGCATTGAAGGCTCGCATCCTCCCCTACCCGGTACTATAGGTTCTTGAGGCTGACGGCTACTGGATGAACCATCCCTTCTCCCATACATCTCTTAAATTTCCATTTGTCTATAGTTCAGCTATTGGAGACTGGCAATCCTAGCTCGTTCCATTTGTGCCTTGAACTTTGCTTCTTGGTCCTCGTCCTCATCTATTGGACTTTCGTACCCCCTCCCTATCTCCTCTGCATCCCTTTCTCTCTGCATATTTTTTCCTTTTTCTTCTGTAATTAATTTTAACATTTGTTGTTTTACTTTCGATGGCACTTCTTTACAACCGATGACATTACCATTTACCCAAGCAAGATGTTCTTTGTTCTTTTAGGCGATAAATACCACCACCCATTTCCTTGTTACAAAAATTACATCGAACTCTTCATTTGTCATTCACTTTTGTGCCATATTGCCACGTCACATCTCCCCTCCTCATCTTATTATTTTTTTGTAAATTTTCTTGAACTTAAAAGTTCATTAAAAAAATATTTATTTTGGAAGATCGCTCTACCAAGGGGACCTTGTAAGCATGGCGATATCACAACAAAGATTAATTTACATGTATATGAACAAGAAAAAAAGAAAAAAGCAAAGCAATAATTAAGAATGCATAACCCTTGATTTACCCAAAGAAAATAGATAGGGGCCTTCTCCCCACTGATTTACCCAAAGAAAATAGTAGAGAAGTATGATTAGGTTGAGGTAGGAGTTTATGAGGGTTAGTCTTCCTCTATATTACAGGACTTCAAATTTCCAACATATAAGCCTAGACATGAATTTATTTAACAGAGGTTAGGCGATTCTTGCCTCCTTTTCAAGGCCACTGCTGAAGCATTCTATGGCTAAGAATCAGGAGATTCCTGGGTGATAAGAATTTCCTTTTTTTTTCCCCTCTTTGTGAAGACGTTGTTGAAGTTTTATTTAATATGAAAAATGAAATACGCAGAACTTGAGGTCAACTCCGGTTATATTCATAGGGGTAGTCAACTCTAACATGTCAAAAACAATAAAACATTGTATACAGAACCAAAAATTACTTTTAATTCATGCACTCTAAACTTGATTTTTTTTTTGTCAAAAATT